AACATATAACAACATATAACGTATAACAACATATAACAACATATAACGTATAACAACATATAACGTATAACATATATAATGGTGCTCTAAGTGTAGTTATTCATTTGAAATTCTGAAATTGCAAGTATGTACAAGACAATTTAATCTATATCCTTCACCTCTGTCCTAGCTTTGTCTAAGATAGAGTTAACAGTAGATGGTATGATGCCATGTTTTGGATTTAAGAGAGCACACTGATGCTTTAGTTGCTGCTGAGTAGTGCTTACATTAATCAAGAACTTTTCAGCTTCTTTTACTGTCAGGCCAAGGGATATCCCATATCATATGGTGTCATGCTGAGCAATAAAGCTGGGACACTTGGATGTGAGGGGGCAGCTGCTGCTCATGAACTGGCTGGGAATAAGTCAGCAGGTTAAACTACAACTTGGTTTCCTATAAGTGTTCCCAGTATCTGTGCCATATATGTGCTGATATAAGTAGGCTGCAGAATCAGGGGCTGGCACTATTGTAGCTCTCCTTATGCAGAATGAGGTATCTTTACAAAGATTGTGTGTGTTATAAAAAGGAAGAAGATGGTTTCTTTGGGAGTGGAAATAAAAAGCACAGTATTTCAGAGAAGCAGATGTGTTTCTACTTTTTTCTGCAGCTTAGGCTGAAAGATCTGGACACTAAACAGGAACTGAGCTTTCCCACTGAAGCCCAGTATCTGTTTGGAGAAGATGGATCTGAGACTGTGACAGAGCTAGCAGCAGTCAGACCAGACAAAGCACCACTCAGAGGTATGTTGCTGAACAAAGAATAAATATGTAAAGAAATACATAAACACACTCATACAAAGTTGTGAACTATTTAATGGAATAAGCACAATGAGCAAGAATATAAAGCATTTTATTATAAAACAAATCACTCAAAATGATTTTTAAATATTCATTCAGAATGTCAGAGTCTTTAGTAACATGTATTGCTCATATGTTTTTAATCTGTTTTAAAGCAACTGACGTTTTGTTTTCACTAGTCTAAGCACTAATCTGAAATTCTGAAACCTGTAAAACCCAATTAGTATATGTCTAGTGAAACGTTCAGAAAAAGACTGATTTACATAAGGTGAGGGACAATATCATGGATTTAAAAATGCACGTGTATAGACATAATGTCATGATTCACAGAAAGAAAAAAGAAGTTGTTGAAGTTTTCTCCAAACCTCTTTTCTGCTCCAGTAGCTCTGTTTCATTTAATCATTGCATCTGAAAATATGATAAAATTTTCCTTTGTTCTGACTGCATTTCAAACAATATTTAGCAAAAAAACCTCATTCATAATAGTCCATCTTCTTAGTTAAAATACTTCAAACTTTTTTGCATTTGCCACCTAACTAACTTGATCATAATAGTCTATTAAAACATTAAAATCTTCACAGTGTTCACAGAAACCATAAAGAGAAAAATCCTTTGTCCTACTGTCTCAAGCAATACATACTACATAACTCATCAGCAAGTCATGGCAAGCTGTCCTTTGTGTTGAATAATAATGATGCATATCCAAATAAATTGCTGAACCTTAACAAATTAATTGATGGTCACCATTTCTCCTGAACAGCTAATTAATGGTGGACATAATTATCAAAGTGCCAGACTAAAACAGAATGCAGCTGATCCAAAACAAATAGCGTATTTCATTCATGTATATGTTGTATCTGTGTTCATTCTATGTTACAATGTCATTACATTGGTTTAGCCTATCTCAATTTAAGAACGCTAATCTGCAAGGACTCAAGGCTTGTTAAAAGCCTCACATAATGAATGGTGTTCTTTCTGTTGATTTCAGTGACAACTGGATAAGAAAGTGTTTTCTTCATTTATAATAGCAAGCATGGAATATTGTACTGATTCATGAAGGACATATCATCTCCAGTGTTGTACTGTGTTGTGAGATAGTAGCAAAGTTAGAAAAAGACAAAACATTAATGTCAAGTACAAAAGCTTCAGTTCTTGGTCTTGAATATCCTGTTTCATAATGAAACACCTAGAGTACCCTGTTTTATAATGATTGGTAATTACATTGCTAAAAATGCTGATTTGGTAATGTTTTTGTCTCTCTGATTTTTCATTACAGAAGTTCTTTACTCAGTCAGTGTTCATACAGGAACGTTGCCTGCATCAGGAACTGACGCAGACATATTTATAACTATATTTGGAGAGCAGGGAGATTCCTGCAAAAGGAGACTAAGACACTCATGTTTTGAAAAAGGACAGGTTAGTAGTTAGCTATGTTCCTTAACTGTTTTTTTAAAATGTTTCATTTTATTGCTTTTTTTCACAGACATTTTTGTTGTTGTTGTCAAGAACAGGTACTGATGTTATGCTATGGTATAACCTGAGGAAAATACATGTTACTTACTAAAGACCCTGTCCATGGCAGGGGGCTTGAAAATAGATGAGCTTAGAGGTCCTTTTCAACCTGGGCCATTCTATGATTCTATGAAAGCATCTTTCGTACGAGGAATGATTAAACAAGCAAGTACTGTTTAGCCTGGAAAAGGGATGTTGAGATGAAGGGACAGGAAGTAAAAAAAGATAAAATGAGAAAATCAGTAATCCTACTTCCTCATGAAATATGAGAGCTCAAGAACATTAAATGAAAACTGCAGGTGACAAGTTCAAAACAAAAGGAGGTGGATTTTTACACAGTATATCATTATTCTGTCTTAATTTCTGCTACAAGTTGCAGATGCATGTTGGTGCAAAAAGATATTGCACATATGAACAAAGGAAAAAGTTTACTATGAGAATGACAGAGCACTGAAACAGGCTGCCCAGAGAGGTTAAGGAATCTCCTCTGGAAATATCCTAAACCTGTCTGGACGTTTTCCTGTGCAATATACTGTAGGCAACCTTTAACAGGAAGGTTGAATTAGACGATTTCCAGACATCCCTTCCAACCCCTATGATTCTATGATTTTAGTGGAAAAAAATTGTTAAGTGCAAAGGCATAACCTCTGGCTCAGGAAATCTCTGAACCACAATGGTAAAGCCTGAGAGAGTTTATATTTAAGAATTTTCTCCCTATATCTGCCCTCTTTCTCTGCTCTTCCCTAGGAAAATATTATTGACAACTGTTAGTAACAGTACTAAATGCATCTGCTATCTGACATACTACTTGCAATATTATGGGTTTTTTTATAAAAAATACAGTAATAAAAAATGTTGGAGTGAGGATATACTGACAGTATCTAAGAGGTGGAAGGAAGAGATGTTAAGAGCAAATAGTATTTACAGACAGTATCCCTGGAAAATATTGAGTGGACAGGCAAAGAAGACAAAGTTAAGGAAAACTGAGATATAAGAGAAAGGGTTTCTCTTGACTGATAAAGACTGGAAAATAAAAAAAAACTAGTAAGACAGAAAAATGTCATGAAGTATAAGCAAATATGTGACTGTGGAAAGGACAGCTAGTTTGTATTCATTCAAGTAATCATGTCTTCACTTTTTCACCAGTTTAATGGGTTAAATAAGTGGGCATTGTAATTTTGCCTAGCTTACTCTCTGTCTAAAGTAAGTCAATTTAAATAAAATCCTGTTGTCATTCATTGATTACATTCTCGGTAGTGTGTTTAATGCAGTTCCAAATGCCTTTATACTGAGTAGAAAAAAAAAAAAAATGGCATCAACCAAAAGTACATTCTTGCTAATACTGAAGGAGTAGGCAATTTAATGTATTATTACAAGAATTCACTGATAACAATGAGTGATTATGACCACAATTAGATACTGACTGTTAATTATTATCACAAAGAATGAGACTAATGATAGGTTCCTTTTTCAGACAGAGTTAGCTGTGAAAGAACATGAATATTATCAGTACAGGCTATTTCCTCTAAGTCAAGGGTCATGTAAATGACACAAAAATGATATTTGGCTTGGAATTATAAAGAATAAAATCAAAAGGCAGTGAGTGTTACCAAAAAGTTATTTACAAGATATTTCTCCCAGCTGTATCTTATTTTGGGCTGTATATGCATTCAAGGATATAACGAGGTAATGATGGAAGCTCTAAGGCTGTGATATGGAGAATAACTCTGATGTTTTCTTTTTCTGAGCACACTGTGGAAAGTAGTTCCACACTGCCAAGGGAATGGACCAGATGACACAATAATTTTTAAAAATCATCTCTTTTTTGTTGCTTTCTGGTTGTCATGCTTTTTCCTGCCTGGTGGCAAATTGGTTGGCAACAAATAAAAATTACAGCATCTGTTTCTACTATCCATCTGCATTTTTTTTTAATGTCACCCACACTCATGCCCATGTATCTACCCACCCGCTTGTATTATTTCTTGCACAGAACACATTCATTCTCTCACTCATATAATTTATTCATCCCAACATGCACTAGTGCAGTTGCCATTTAGCTTTTGTTTGCTACTAGCTGTAGCAATATTTAAACAGATGTCTATTTACATCCAAAGAGCACATAAATTCTTGCTTGTATGCGTGCACAGCCTTGCTTATAGTTTCTAATGTCAGTATCATCCTTTTGTTTGCATAGTCATCAACACTGTCAGTATTTCAGTTCAGACTTGAATAATACAGCATTTTTTCAAATGGGAAAACTTAGAATATAAAGTAATTTGACATTTTTTGTTTAATAAAATGCCTTATTTAAACCAAGTTCAATTTACAAGACCAGTCCTGAATTTTCGAGGACTCCCTTTGATTCAGTTACAAGGAACAGGTTGAAGTTTTGAGAGATCTTACAGAAGATCTGAGATTTCTTTCTAGTGTGTACTAGTGGGATACTTTTCCTAATACAGCCTGGGATGCAGTAATCATGAAAAAGAAAATAATGCATACATTCAAGGATCCACATATTTTCTTTGTCTCCGAATGTAAATTTCAAAATATCAGAATATCTTTCTTTCCTGTCAGAAATCAAAAGATACTTCAGTATTGAAAAGAGTATGTCTTTCCAAACATGCTCCTATAGATAAAAGATGGAACATGTTGTTTAATCAGTTTAATGCAGTTGATTTTATCTTTAACTTCTCAGGTCAGTATCACCGAGGTGAGAGCAGTAGACCTTGGACAATTAAGCAAAGTGCTTGTTGAGCACAGTAATGTCGGTTATGGAGCTGGATGGTACTTGGACCAAATTGTCATCCATGAATCAGGCAAGACTGATAGCCAATATATATTTCTTTGCCAGCAATGGTTAGACAGTGGAGTTGGTGATGCACAGATGGAACGAATGTTGAGACTACTCGGAAAAGTCAGGAATGAAATGCTAACAGAAAAGATTCACGGTAAGACTCAAAATCATCAAATTTACTTCTGGTTTTTGTTTTCATGATAATTTTTCAGGTTATTTTTAAGACTAAAACCAAAATAGAAAAATAATATACCTTAAATGTAAGTTGTATCTCTCAAACTATCTCTCCAAACACTTTCTAGACCTGGTAGGTAGAATTATAATTAGCAGAACAGAGAGATGAAATGAATGGGAGCAACAAAGTGTGTGTTTAGTTGAGGCTTGAAAAAAGCTGAAGCAGAAAGAGGTAGGTTGTTCCATATGGCAATCAGTGCAGAGCAGAAGGCTCCTACAACAGTGGTGAAATCTCAGGAAGAAATGCAGAAACTCATATAGCAGAATGAGATTTTCCTGTGTGTTCATATGTTTGCAAAAAGCATTTGCTTTTTTTTTTTTGCAGTTTTCGTTTTTACTTAAATGGCAAAATTAGTTGACCTGGACCCAATATCCTTTTCAGTTTAATGAAAAAAGGATTGAAATTCAGAAATAATGTAAACACCAAACCTGATAAGTGTTTTACATTTTGCCGTTGGACTGGATTTCTTAGCTCTCTGACACATCTTGTCATTTTTTGAAGAAGTGTTAAATGTTTTGGGTCCATTTATGCAGTTTGACTCAGAAGTGCTAGACCAAATTATGTAAAGTTTAACTAATCTGAACATGTGAATTTGTATTCTCAATCAATAATTTTGTACATTGACCATTATTGATTTCTATATTCATGGTTATTCCATTTTATGTTTAGAGTTCTATATTGTTGCAGACATGGCTGTAGTATATATTTTTATATTTAGCTGCCTGTACCTTGTCCAGTAACAGATATTTTATATCATTTTAGGAAATACAAAAATGCTATTACTGAGACAACAGGACAGAATAATGTGGAAAGTTAAGCTACATAGCAGCTAGAGTAATGTCTATTTCAAAATAAGAAATTACTGTACTACAATACTTCAAGAATTCCATAGATGCCCTACATAATCCACAGAGTGAGGCAGGCTTCTCCTAACAGTTATTTAGAGCAGAAGCCCAGGACTGATCAGGGTCTGTCGGCTCTCTCTTCACTGACAATTTAAAAGGTGTGAGAAATCTTGCACCCTTTTCTAGTGTCTGAGTGTAGGTGTGTAGAAAGATTCCACCATCCTATGCTTCTCACAGCCACAGTCTCTAAAAATTTGAGTTTAGATTGACTAATATTTTTTAGTCTATGATTATTTATATTCAGTTGTGAATCTATTCAACATCAGTTCTGGTCAGTGTGTATAATACTTCTGTGAAGAATTATGAAGAATATTACAGACAAGCAGAGAGACTAAAAGGAATTTAGAAATAAGGCTGATCAGCAAAGAGCACTATACCTTAGAGGTAAGAAAGTATACGGATACAACAGAACTTAACTAAATGTCAAACTGAGACACATTTTATAAAGGAATTAAAACAAATAGTGAAGGTTCTTCAACCATTTACTTTAAAAAAATATGGAAAGATAGATGACTATGCAGGAGCAATAAAGTGGAACTAAAGATGATGTAGGTAGAATCCCTAAACAAACTGAATATCTTATGTCTGTTTTCATTAATGCCCCAAAGTATGTGGAAGGGAAGCAAAATCAAAAATTACTAGTGGGAATGAAGTTATTGCAAATCACTAAATGTGAAATGCAAATACAGTTTGAGTTTCATGCAGTCAGTAACAACATAAGCAGTTTTTAGTCTGAAATACTGAAAGAACAGGGAAAATAAGAGGAAGAAGTAGGAGGTTATAAAATAATTATGTGGCAATGAGAAGTACAACTTGTAAATAACAAAGGTAATATCTCCATCTGAAAAACTTTAAGTAGTTAGAGTAGCAGAAGCAAATAGGAAATAAAAGAAATGAGTTAACAAATAATAAATTGTAAGACAAAAATGATACTTTTAAGAAATCTTCCCCCATAAGAGAAATATAATGACATTTAATCTGTGTAAATGTCAGTATTGAATTGTATTTGCTCTATGAGAAATTATTAGGTAATTAGAAAGTAGAAAGTGGAAAGACTCCACAGCTGTGAGTTATGTCACAGGTGATACTGTAAATTTTCATTTCACTTTCATTTTTTTTTGTAGATGTTACTGTTTCCATTTGTATTTAATGTTCACAAACCTGAAGCTGGTAGCTTTTTATGGTTAACATTAAAATCATAATTTCTGAAGTTATTTTAGATGAGTGCTGTTTTTCTAGCTTCACAGTCTTGAATTCATGGCATGGATTCTCATCTGCTGTAAATTAACAGTTTTATTTAAATTGATTTGTACAAGGAGAGAGAATGTTTTGCTGGCTGTGGTTAGAAAGCAAGACTTTATAGGACAGTGAAAATCACTGTTTCCATTGCTCAAAATAAAATATCCCCAGTTTACAAAATATTTATAAACATTTATAAATATTAAAATCCATACTTTGGCTTACTTTGCAAAAACAGAGCTCAGTGGATCACGGTGAATTCTACACCAGCCCAGGTGACCAAAGCCCTTCTGTAGAAGTCAGGATTTCTTTAGAAATGTAAAGCATGTTTTTGATAACACTGATTTTTCCATATAGGCTATTAACATTAAGAGCATTTTAAAGCTAGGGAGACTTTTTTAAAGTGAAAGTATCTGATCCTGAAGTTGGTGAGTCTACCTGCTATCAGCCTGCAGTATTTATGCACCACCACGTGACAGTTAATTCATATGGAATATTTAAAATACTAAATGCTTCAAACCTGACTCTTAGTTTGAACACAAGTTATTATTTTCTTTTCAATAACATCCACTGACAAGACAAGAGGCAATGAACACAAAGCGTTGAATATGAGTTAGTGATGTGACCTTGCTACAGGCTAACAGGATTCTTGGCTACATTAGACAAAGAATAGCAGGTAGATCAAGAGAGGTGATTCTTCCTGTCTACTTAGTGTTGGTGAGGCTGCACCTGCAGTACTGGGTGCAGTCCTGCTCTACCCCCACTACAAGAGAGATTCTGACATACTGGAAAGAGTCCAACATAGGGACATCAAGATGATCAAGGGAATGGAGCTCTCCTTCTATGAGGATGAACTGGGAGAGTTGGAGTTATTTAACCTGGAGAAGAGGATGCTCGGGGCAATCTTATCAAGGTATAAAAATACCTCAAAGAGAGTACAAAGATGATGGAACCATTCTGTTCCCAGTGATGCCCTGTGTCAATGGAAGAAGAAATGAGCACAAACTGAAGCACAAGGGTTTCCCCCTGAGCATCAGGAAGCACTTCTTTTCTGTATGGGCACAGTTTGCCCAGAGAGGCTGTGGAATCACCTTGTTGGCGATCTTCAGAAGATGCCTAGACATGGGCCCAGGCACCCTGCTCTGAGTATCCCTGCTTGAGCAGAGGTTCTACCAGATGAGCTTCAGAGATTCCTTCTAGTCTTAAACATTTTTTGTTTCTGTTAAGATAATTTTTCAATATTTTTCCTAATGTAAAATTACTAAGTTTGAGTGTTTTCTGTGTACCTAAAGTTTCCGAAGCCCTATATTGTTACATGGGACTATTTTTAGTCTAAGCAAACATCACTTCTTTATAAAGGAAATCCATAAGGTTTTATGCTTTGCTGTTATGATAACTTTAATATCAAATTTCAAGCGCTTAACCAGTTTATCTTATCAGCATTTTGTTTATATGTAGCAAATTTTAATAATCTAGGTTAAGTAGCTCCTCAAAGTTTGAATGCAGTTACTATCCTGGATCAAAGGAAAACCTGATATCCAGTACTATGTAGTAGAAAATGTGCTGCTTTTGAGCGGCAGTTAGTGAGAAAAAGATTAAAATTATCAGAGGAAACAATTGTAGGCTGAAAAATGTCAATGAACTGGCAAGGCTCTTCAGTCTCTAATAGGAAGCTGGCAGCCTCATTTGCCTAGTTCTGCTGGATTGTTCCACCTCTAAAGAATCAACTATCACTGTAGAAAGGCTGATTTGTTCCTCAGTATGTACAATATATCAATGATAATAACTGAATCTGTTATGTTTCACGACTAGCTCAGTGATGTGATCTCTCAAAGATGAGAATGGTTTGCTAGTCATTCACTAGCAGCCTGTTACAAATTGATGTAATATTTTTGATATTCAGCAAACCCTTTAATTATTTTTTAACATTTTTCTTCAACAGGGACTTGGGATGTCTTTGTCACAACTAGTGATATTTCTAGTTCCACAAATCCTAAAATGTCGTTAACTGTTTGTGGTGGAAAAGGTGTCTGTACTTCAATCATACTCCCAAAAGGATCCCTTAATAAAAAGCAAGTTTATGAGACTTCAATTGAACTAAACAAGAAATTCACTACTATATTTAAAGTTCGCCTAGAAATTGAAGAAGCTGGAGAAGGAGAGTCTTGGCATTGCCATGAGGTAAAAAATAAAAACTAAAGTAAAAATAAAGTTCCAAAACCCTGCCACAGGCAGGGCCAGTAGTAGGTCAGATATTTGTTGTAGGATTTTTTTTTCTTTTTTTTAAAATTTTTTTGTTCTGTGGTTAGTACTGGTTCCAGTTTCCAGTTCCTTTTGAACTTACTTTTTCTTTTTTTTTTTTTTTTTTTTTTTTAATCAAACAAATTAGCAGGTCTGCTAACACTTAATGCTTGTAGAGTGGTAAATTCACAGAATGTTCAAAATATTTATTAGAATAATTTTGGATAGCAAAAAGCTTGTAAACTTAAGAGGATTTCTGGATGATACATATACGGATTTGCCTTTACCACATCTTGCAATCTCACTTTTGAACTAGAGCCACTGGCATGCACTGCAGTATTTATGTAATTCCAAACTGAGTGTTACATGTTGTGAACCCAGTGATCCAAAGCAAACAATTAAGCGAGACACCAGAAATGCCTTTTGATGAAAACATCTGCCATTTATGTTGACATGCAGAAAAAGAAAAGTGAATAGCAAAGAGTGACAATCTTTCTTCTGATGTTTAAGATACTGAAGCTAAAATCTGACATTATACTAAAATTACAGTGGCATTTTCCTATGCAGGAAGTATCTTTATCCTCTTAAACTGGGAAAATAGATACAAATTTAAGGGAAGGAGTCATCTTTCAAACTGCAGTCACACTTTATCCCATTAATACTTGCATTTTGTTCTCATTAGAAAATGGAGAAAAAAAAGATTTTAATCTTAATTACATGCTATTAAATAGAGAATTTATCCTCCTGACATTTAACCAGTAGTCAGGTAGTTAATTTCATCTTCATAAGCCAGATGAAATAATTATCTAAGAAATACATCAATAAAATTAAAACTACTTCTTGGAGACGGTGGATCACTGAAAAAAATCAGAGCAGAAATTTTGCAGTTGCAATGATATCTATTAATTTCCTTTACTTCATTAGCTCATAACAAGGGCTTGAAGAAGAGTTAGAAAAAAATATCAACATAATTTATGTAGAAAAAGAAAACAGGTAAATTTTTATCGGATAGGACAAGAAAGAAAAGGAAAATAGAATCTTACAGGAGTTTTAGAAAGGCATTTCCTGTTACTCCATGGATTCCTTTGCAGAACAAGCTCAATCCTTGTATGAAATTACTAGGTACTACCTATAAGAGATTGCAAATAATGATTAGTATTAAAGACGAGTTATTAATATTTGCACTGCCAGTTAGATTTACTCTGCAGGAAGGTCATTTCTATGCCATTTTATTTTGATTATACAAGTCTTCTCTCATAGAGAGGCTGAGATTTCCACCTTCTATTACAAGCAGGTGCTTCAGAATTCCATATTTGGAATCAACATTCAAATTAGAACCATATCTGCAAAGTAATTTCCTTGAATTTTTGGAGGAAGATAAAGTCATTATAAAATAATGTCTGGGAAATAAATAAATAAATAAATAAACAAAATTGTTTCTGAAGAAATGCATCTTTATTCTTGCCTTTCAACTCTTGAAGAAATAAAGCACAGTAAACGAAACTTGATTTTTGAGAAACTGCTCAGGAATATAGATGTTAATATAAAAGCAATATAGTTATATTTTACATTTCATTCAAAAAAAAACATCTCTTCAATAAGTGAATTTTCTGTGTTCTGTTCAAAGTCAGGTTACAATCTGAGACATGTTTACGAATATTTTCTCGGTTGTATCTTTAAATAGTTTAGAATAATGAACTTTTATCTCTTTATGTCACTGATTGTGTAATAGCACAAGAAGCCTTATTATTAAAATCTCTTTGCTTGCAACAGGACTAGTCTGCTTAGCTCAGTATCACCCTTTGATTTCTTTATATACACTTACACACTTATTTCACAGACATTCAAAATATTCAGTAGTATATATTTCCTGTGATGCAGACATGCAGACATATGCAGGCCATAAAAGTGCTTGATTTCGTTTTTTCAGCTTTTCCCAGAAACACATTTTCTTTCTCCAATTGCTCAGAGTGAGAAAACATTCTGCCATAAAAACATGTTAGAACTTATCGACATTTATCACAAGCTGAAATGGGCATAACAACACTTATTTTCTTCCATGTGCTGTGCGAATAGGTAACTAAAGGAAGCTTTTTGAACTATTCCAAATCATTTTGTTCTTCCTGTAGTAGCACAAACTCTACAGCAAGAACGCTGACAATGTCTTAATTATTTTTAATTGGGAAAAATCTTTTTCTTCTCTTTTGAAAAGTTGCTTTGGGAAAAAAAAACACAAAAACATTTCAGACAAATTATTTCCTCTTCTTCTTTAGAATTGAGACCGCATGTTTGTTCTCCATACTTTACAGTAGTATGCCTTGCTACAGTTTGCTCTAGAGCAAAAGAAGTGTTTAATTTATTTCTTCTTCTTTTTTGTGAAGGTAAAACTTCAACACAGAGTAAGTAAAAATCTTCTGGAATTTCCATTTTGCCGCAACTTCGCAGATGACGAAGGGGAAAGAGTGGCTGAGCTTCCAGTTCTCATAGTCAATTCTCCTTTTCCACCAGGTTTGTTACAAATCATCAACACTGGAAAAGATATTGCTAGTTATGGTGGCTAAGATTTTCACTGCAGGCCAGAGGATTTAGCAGAAAATTTGTATTTACTTTTTAATAAGAATCTGAGTTCCCATAGTTAGATGTGCTTCTTGAATTCCAAGTCTGAGATCACTTTGGACATGTAAAAGAGAAAGTATGTGATCACACGTTCTTCTGTGACCTTCTATTCATACATCATGAAATTCCTTTATTTGAGTTATGCCTTGATCACCTCAAGACCAAATTGCTTTCATTAGTTTTGTGTTTCTTTGGGGATTTGATGCCAAAGTTAGTGAAGGACGCATAAGCTCTTGTTCTGAATGGATATTCTACCATGAGAATATTGCAATCACCTCTGTGCATTTCCCATGAGGTAAAGGGATTAGATCAGTATCCCAACCAATGTATTCCTTGCCTTTTTTTTTTTTTTTTTTTTTTTTCCCTGTGCTTTTAAAGCTACTCTGAAGAAAAGCACTTGAACAGAAGCTCCTTGAATTTGAATTTGAGAAGAGTCCTGCTGGAGTATTCCCTGGAAAGGCACTTTGCCTTTTAAATACTTCCGCTTTCTTTTCTTTTTTCCTGAAAAAGTATGAATATGTAAGACTTCACAAATATTGCTTTTCTTTCTAATAAGTATTAAAAATTAGGAAAGTTGCTGTTTTCTTACTTTTCCCCATTTTTTTTTTTTTTCCTCTTTTTCGATCAGAAGTTTTGGTCATGTTCTTTCCATTTTGGGGGCCAAATGACCAGTGTGCTATGCGTTTCTCTGGATGTACAACCAGGAAATTAACATGGTCAGCCAAGAAATGACCAACTGATCAGTTGTTAGATACATCACAGGATACATAGTATTTCTTCAAATTGTCTGCTGGGGTCAATAAGTGCAACTGGTACTGTGGTAGAACAGCTAACCATAGGCTGGACTGTGATCCACAGAAAATGTAGAAGTTGTCATCATTCTGATGGAGTTCAGCTTCATTTGAACTCAGTGAGACTTGGAGAAGAGATGTGCTTTTCAGTAATTTATTGTTGTCTATAGCCTAGGAACTGTTACATGAAGCAGTACTATTTATCAATACATATAAGCATGTGGTAGACTATTATTTATGTGTTTTTATTAAAAAAAAAAAAAAAAGTGAGATGTGTTTTTTTTTTCCTTTCTCTCAGAAACTTTTTACTTGTTATTAAAGTAGTACATAATTTTTTTATTACAATTCTTCTTCATTTTATTTTTCAAACATTACAAACAATACTGTTTGACCTCTTGATCACTTTCGGTAGGATGAGAAATTAGGGACAAAATAGCAATTCATTAAATAGCATATTTTTAAAACTGATTACGTTTTGTTAAACCTTTGATCTCTTTTTCCAAATAGTGAAAAGCTATGTTCTCTGTATCACCACGGGAGCATCCCCTGGGTCAGGAACTGATGCAGATGTGTATGTCATGCTGCAAGGCATTTTGGGAGACACTGGTAAACGAAAATTAATCAGAAAAGGAGATGATAACTTCACTGAAGGAAAGGTATGTTTACCATTTCTCTGAGATATTTTGTACTTTTATAGCCCAGTCCAATTTACGTGGACTTGATAGGAGAAGGATAGAATCTACAAAGAGCAGTTTGCGATTATGTCCATGAATGTATCTATCTTAAAAGGAAGTCACTGATACTTATGTAACTGATGCTAACAATGCTGAAAAGCAGTCAAGTGATTTTAAGTTCAATTTTGCAAATCGAATGTCTTTGGTTACATGCCGGTGCTTTTACTGACTATTTGTTTGACAGTAAAGTCAAAGAAACTACATTTCACAAAATCACAGAATTGTAGGGGTTGGAAGGGACCTCCAGAGGTCATCTACTCCAACACCTCTGCTAAACCACGTTCTTTGGTGCAGCTGAAAGGAGACAAACTGGCAATGCCAGCAGTTGCTTGAAACACTCCAGACCTCTCTATACAATCCTTGCCCAAGAATACCTATAGCCAGCATGTTGAAAAATCTTTTCTTTTACAGTGTCTTGGTCTCACTTCTGTGTGTTTTTGCCAGGTGCATTCTGTGCTCTGCATGCAGGAGTGGGTTGTCACGGGAGTTTAAACCAAAGTAAACAAGGAATGTTTTCTTGGATACCTCTTTTCTTCCCTTGTCTGTCTTCATGGTGAGGCTGCTTTCTGTAAAGGATCTATGGAAAGGCTCATTCGCTGCCAGCCTACCTCTTAGTTTGGCTCTTGCTCCTTCTGGAGACAGTGAACTACTGCCCTCCATAGGTTACTTAGGCCATAAAAAGAGTCATTTTTTTCACTGTACAGCTCATAGATGCAGACCAAAGACAAGAATAGCTGTTGGAGATGCATTTCCCTGTAGCACTGTCAGCACAGAAATTAGAGAGAGTTTACCTATTAATCTTTCTGTAGAAATGCAGGTGACAAAGTTTAAATCTTTATTTGTAAGAGACTGAATATCTGTGGATGAGGATGCTCAGTATTTAAAAGGCACATTTATCTTCCTTAATTTTGAAATTCCGATTATGGTTTATTGAAAAGCTTTATCTGAGTCATTGGATTTTAGAGCTGCAATCCTTTTTACTCTCATCGAGTACTTAGTTTAATGTAAGTTTTATTGGATTTCTCCTTAAATCTTAACTCCACAAGTGAGCAATGAAATTTTTAAAGAAGAGGACCAGAAATGCTTATGTAGAAATTCTACCCTGAAACCAACTACAAAGAGAACCTGAAGGATACTCTTGCAGTATTTGCTTATGCTTTTCAATGACACAAAATTTTTCTTTTGCAGGATAAGAGGCTGAGTTGGCATATGCCCAATACTCTTCTTTCCTTATTTGACATTTCATATGAGCAGTATGTAAATGCAACATGGTATTATATTTGTAAGTAGATATTAGCACAGGAATATTTTATGGACTGAAAAGAAATTGCTTGTAGATATGTAATAGAGAAAACAGAGTTCTAAATCTAAAGGTATTTGTCTAATTGAGAAAGAATAAATTGTTTCTGCAAGCAAGACTCCTGCCTTTGCAGCAACATTTTGTTCATGGCAGTTGTTGGAAATTTCCCAATGTTTTCTTCCCATTATAAGTAATCTCCAAAAAGACTCTCAAGTGTAGAATGTCTCTTTCTGTACCAGCCCAATCACATATTGTGCTGAGCACCCCTGCAGTCAGAGAATCTGGACTTGGTGGTTCGGGGGATTTTGGCAGATAGCAGACATGGAATTTGCATTCTGAATCTTAACAGTTGTTCTGACATTTTAAAATGTGCTTTTCTTTGCAATAATTTTTCCCCTGACTATACAGTAACAGCTAGCAAACTGGAACAGTGTTTCTGTTAGAAATCACATCAAAATATGGTGTTAGTCTCATAGAATGTCAGCGCTTCTACGAACAACAGCTTAACAATGCAGAAATGCATAGAAAAATTTAAATATGCAGAGGACTTTGCAGGGAATTGAAGATATACTTATCTTATTTAGTGGGTCTTTTATTTACATGGGCTGAGTTAGAAGACCGTAAAAGGCTGTATTTGCTTCCTATATCTGAAAAGTTGCTTTGTATCTTAACAAAATGCACACATCTGTAAAAACACTGGATAACTGTTAGATTAAGTACTGTGCTTGAAATTTTTCATTCGCTAGGAAACTCCCTGTGGTTCACCCCAGGTCTGAGAGAGTAACTCCATCACCAAGATGGCTGAGCTTCCAGTGATCTACTCAGGCAAATGAGTGTGAGGACAAATGCTTTGAGAGCTGTATTCTTTCAAATTGCTGTGACATTGATGCCTTATTTGATGTTCTCCAAAAAAGCTACAACGACAGGCAAAGCAATCTTGGCACATTTCTTCATGCAGTTCAGGTTTCATGAATTCCTAATACTATTTATTCATGCTTCATGAGTCAGTTCAATTCTGATAAATGTTACTGGCTACAAACACTTTCCTGAACCAAGTACACTCAGTGCATGTGTTTTGTAAAAATCAAGTCCCAGCGTGAAAACATCTCAGTCTTACTGTATTTCCCCGCTGCTTCTGCTACCCAGTGTTTTGCAGCTAATGAAATTCTTCACACTTCTTTCAGGTGGTCTTTGTTAAACTTGCTGTATGTACTATCCTATGGCTTTGAGTTATCCACAAATCCCCTCTCAGAATGTGTTTCTTTTTTTTTTTTTTTTTTTTTTTCAGTTCAGTTCTATCAAAACGCTAAACTACGTTGAATATGTAATGACTGATGTTTAAGTATTTTAGTATCTGTGTAAAGGCCAGTATTACATATTCTGTGTTACTGAAACTGTAAAATCTCTGTGAGTTTTTACTTCATCCTATTAGTTGTTGAAGAGATATATCCTTTATTCTGCCCTATATTTAGACATCAACTGCTCAGGTTGGTACCATGGTAACTGCAGCACATACAAAAATTGTCAGAGAGAGGTGACTGTTGGTGTTCCATTTCCATACTCACAGATTAAATATTGGCAATTTATAAAAATGACTTCAGGAAAAAATCTGTGTGAAAGAATACACTGAAAAAGGTCATGAATGGGGGACACAATACTGTGGCCACTATGAAGTGAAATTGGTCTGAAGTGTCCACATCGTGTCAAGAATACCACTATCGTATAAATGCAGATAAACCATTCTTTTATAAAAAACATACCTGACATGATGATTAAATAATTGCAAAACGCCATTGGCCCAAATGTATTAATCATAGTGACAGGCTTCTGGCCAACATATTGTGTTACAGAAGTGAACAGTAAAATGGTCTGCTCACAGAGCAGAAGTATTATTGAGATAGGAACTAGAAAAATACAGAATATCATCAAGCTAAAGGAAAGAGTGGTGGAGATTTTCAGAAATAGTAAGGAGAAAAGTATAAACCATGCTCTGGAGGCCCATCACTGCCAGTTGGATGAAGGAAGGGATTGTCTGCTCTGTGCTATATGGCTTCCTCTCGTGCACTGGCTGCAGGTTTGGGCACCACAATGTAAGGACATAAAAGTATTAGAGAGTGTTCAAAGGAAGGCTGCAAAGATGTTGAAAATCTTAGAGGGCAAGATGAATGAAGAGCAGCTGAAGTCCATCAATTTGTTCAGCCCAGAGTAGAGAAGCCTGCTCATGGCTGCTGCAGCTCCTCACAGGGAGCGCAGGAGCAGTGCTGAGCTCTGCTCTGTGTCACAGCGACAGGGCATGAGGGAACGGCATGGAGCTGCATCAGGGGAGGGGTGGGTAGGGATGAGGGAAAGGGTCTGCACCAGAGGGCGGTGGGCATGGAACAGGCTGCCCAGGGCAGTGGGGATGGCCCCGAACTGCTGGAGTTCAAGGAGAATTTGGGCAGTGTTCTCACACATAGTTTGAATTTTGTGTGGTTCTATGACAAGTCGGGAGTTGGACTCAGTGATGCTGTGGGTCTCTGCCAACTCAGGGTATTCTAAGTAACACAGAGCATTGGGTTAGAGATGTATAAATAACTATTTTATATATATATAATTAATAGTAATTAATTACTTGGGAGGATGGGGGGGAGCTGTTCTCTGTCTATGTAGAGCTCAAAAGTAAATGTTAGTTTTCTAAAAGTGAAATACATATCACAGTTTTTGTTGCCTGGAATGTGCACATTTATTCTAACGTGATGATTTGACTTTCTTCTGGAAATGGAGGAATGCAGGAGCTTCCAGGAGGTGGTTACATTCTTTATTTTTGGCGGGGATACTTGTCTTAAAAATTAAGTGAATTATCCTCAGATGGTGCCTGATGCTTTCCCTAAATAACAGTGAAATTAACAAATTGGCTTACATAGATCTGTTTTTAGCTGGACAGAATTAGTGAATTAGTTCTATGCAACATTATTTCATTGATATTTAATGAAAAAAATAATTTTGAAATAAAATGCAGCTGACTATTAGCTTGATTTATCATAAATTTCAGAAGAGTTACTGGCAATAGAAGCCTGCATTTTTCAGCAGTCAGTTTATTTGTCCACTTTTCCTATGTGCAGCACTAACTAAATTAGCTTTATTGAACGTTAATGGTTTAAAAACATACCCAACTCAGGTTTTCAGATACAACAGCTTCTGGTGATGAAGAGCTTGTCTAGCTGAAAAGTTGTTTTAGAGCTTAGATATTCTTAGATAGAAGAACACACACTATTTTGTGTGTTCGTCATCAGAATCCAGCATCAGTCCATCTTTGACTTCTTAAGCACTGGATCTTGTTGCATTTTTTGACTCAGCTTGGAAAGTCCTCTTGAAACAAATTTCTACCATCTTTGACAGTATTTAGGACAATAATCACAGCTCTATGCTTGTTTTTGACAACTTAAATGGATTAGTCATTTAAATACTTATGTCACTGAAGGGTAGGCTTTCCAGTGGTTTATTAACTCCCACAAATCTTTTCTTAAGACTCTTTAATTTAGCACCCTCCTTCTTCAAGTGTCATAATTAGCAGGTGTTTTTACATCTTCTCTGAAATCTTGTTTTCCTACAGCAAACTCATAAAAACATTAAAGAGCACAGG